ATGGCACGTCGGGAGGCACCCCGCGGCTAGACAGGTCGGCCGCGACACGTGGTCCGACACTCACGAAATAAGTGTTCAGTTCGTCCGGTGTGACAGCTGGGAGAGGGGCAGTGCTGCTCCGTTTACTGGCGATCAGCGGGCACGGTTCGTCGAAAGGTCATCTCAGGCTCAAAAGAAACGGTATATACCATTCGAAAGCTGACGGTGAGCTGAATCCAAAAATGTAATTTTTATCAAAATCGATCGATGGCCTTTTTTGAAAATTGCGTTTTTGTAAAAACTTAATAATCTTTTATTCAACGGGCTGTCCCGGACATTCTTGAAAACATAAACATGTATTTTTGAGTTCCAGTGAAAGCTGAACGCCAAAAGAACAATATTTAGCGAAGCAATATTTCCAAACATTAATATGCGTCTCTCACAGCCGATAATAAGGCGCAATCACACAGCTCAGTGTCACGATGGACCAAAGTCAGCCACACAGAAGCGTGAAATGACCCTTATCGACTCGCAGACCCGGCGCTCTCGGCCCGCCTGACCGGCCACGGAAAGAACGTTCGGCTCTCGTTCTACTAAACAAATGTCATATTTGTCAGTTTAACTGTCCATATCGCTATTAAAGTTATTCAGGATACCTGTGAAGAAAAATCATTGTTCTGCTTGATTTACAACATGCTTTAATTTACATTTTTCTTTTACATGTTTTGTTCCATCCAGCTGCGATCAGTGCCCGCGCAGGGGAAGTGAGCGGGGTTTCACTGTCAGAGGCTGTACTGGTGACAGCTGCTCGGCCGTGCGACCGGTCAAAGGTTACCCTGCCCCGCCAGGCGCTACCCCCACTCCACCCGAGCTGAGGCCGGTGCAGCCTTCTGACATTTCAGCGCGGCCAATTTTCCTTATATGGGCATGATGCCAAGCTCGATTGAGCAAAGGAGACATGAACAAATGAAAATTAATGCATGATGTGAAGATGACAGAACAATGAGTTTTCTTCACAGGTATCCTGAATAACTTTAATAGCGATGTGGACAGTTAAACTGACAAATATGACATTTGTTTAGTAGAACGAGAGCCGAACGTTCTTTCCGTGGCCGGTCAGGCGGGCCGAGAGCGCCGGGTCTGCGAGTCGATAAGGGCCATTTCACGCTTCTGTGTGGCTGACTTTGGTCCATCGTGACACTGAGCTGTGTGATTGCGCCTTATTGTCGGCTGTGGGAGACGCATATTAATGTTTGGAAATATTGCTTCGCTAAATATTGTTTTTTTTGGCGTTCAGCTTTCACTGGAACTTAAAAAATACATGTTTATGTTTTCAAGAATGTCTGGGACAGCCCGTTTAATAAAATATTATTAAGTTTTTACAAAAACGCAATTTTCAAAAAAGGCCATCGATCGATTTTGATAAAAATTACATTTTTGGATTCAGCTCACCGTCAGCTTTCGAATGGTATATACCGTTTCTTTTGAGCCTGAGATGACCTTCCGACGAACCGTGCGGGCGGACGGTACGGTACAGAGCACTGCTCCCTTGCTCTCGCAGTCTCTCCTCTATATCCGCTCGGCTGTCACGCCTAATCGCCGCCCTTACGCTCCTGTCAAGCTCGCGAAAGGCCGGCGATCTCCCCTCGCGTCGCAACACTCCCCTCCGCTGGGCCATCAGGTCAAGGGTCGCCGGGGTCGCAGCAGGGGCGCGAGGGTTCCTGACAGACACGGTTTTCAGTGGGGCAACTCTGTCGAGCACTGGTAACAGTCGCCTGATAACATAAGACCACATGTCGGAGACAGATGGACAGTCAAAAACACCGGACCAGTCGACCATGCACAGATCATTAAGAAAACTGGAACGGTCAATTCGTTTTAAAAGACGTGATTCGATGCGAACAGATCGTCTACAAGGCTTCGATAGCTGTAAAAGTACTCGTATAAAATAGTGGGGACTTAAAGCACATTTGAAGGCACGAACGTGTTGAACATCGTCACTAGAGTTTGATATCACGACGTCTAAAAGCGAGCCAGACATAAAAGTAGGTTGCGTTACGAACTGTTTCAAGGAAAACGACTGTAGCATCTCTAAAAGGCGGTCCCTGCTGGGATTAGTAGAAATGTCAAGCAGGTTACAGTTCAGGTCGCCCATTATAAACACTGGTCCAGGATGTAGCACTAAAACTCTCTGAAACTGCACCTCCAGTTCGTGAGTGTCCGCGTTCACGGCTGCCACCGCGCGCCGCGGGGGGCGGTACGCGACAGCCACAGAAAAGTGCTGGCCAGAGTCGGGCTTCACGCGCAGCCACAGCGTTTCAAGTCGGCAGTCAGGGCAGTCCGGGGTCGGCTGGGAGATCACAGAAGCCGTGAAGTTGTCTCTTATCAGTAGGGCCACCCCGCCGTGGCCCGAGCCACCAGGCCGGTCGGCACGGTACAGCACGTAGCCCGGGAAGGTGACCAGACGAGAAGCAGTGGCGGGTCGGAGCCAGGTCTCTGTGATGGCACAAATGTCGTATTGCAGCCTGTTGAGATGTTCGTGCTGCAGCGAGGTGATCTTGGGAAGAAGGGACTGGATAGAGCACTGAGGAGGGCAGAAAGTAGGGCACGGCAGGTTACAGGGCATGGCACAGGACATTTTAGAGGGAAGGAAGGTTACAGGGCATGGGCCAGGACATTTTAGAAGGAAGGGTACAGGTCAGGTCACACAGCAGGACACAGGTCAGGGAACCGGACAGGGCACAGGGCAGGGACGCAGCGGGTCAAATCAGCAGGGGCTACGCCCCAAGGTGAGGGGGCTGCGTCCCAGAATGGGACCAGTAAGTGTCTTAAAATATGTCCTGCAGTCAAGAACAAAACAGTGTCAACTACCACAATCAAGCTTTTATTTAACCTTTTCAAATAAGGGACTTTATATGACTCGAAGTGTTTCCCACGCAACTGCCCCTTAGCATCCCACTGTCCCTTAACACCCCATTTTACGTTACTCGAATAAGTCAGGGAAGCGTCAAGAGCTTCCTCAGACGCTTAGAACACTCTCGGACCATGGCTGCCAGATTGCTTTTGACAGCGGCTGACGTAATTGCCTCACTTCAATTAACATTTTTTTGGCCACATTTTCACAATAAAGGTTTTCACCTTTTGGCATGAACCTGAGAAAGACCTTGTAATGAAATTTGTATTGGAATTGGCCTAATTTGTGCCAGCAAATGTAGATCATTCATTGTAAAAATACCTTTCCCGATAAACCTGGCAAAAAGGAAATGCTCAAAAATAGCAGTAGGTAATTATAATTTGTGATTTCTGCCCTTTAGCGATTTGTGGGGTATACCACTTTTTCTGGCCGGTTTCCATTATACTGCACTTTTTTATTACTTTCACTACTTTTGGTCAGTGGTGCGTGCCCCGCCCCGGTCTACCCCAACTGTAAACGGTCTGCCCCAAAATTGCTGAACTCTGCCCAAACTTTTCAAAAGCTGCCCCGATTTCTGCCCCGCCCCATGGATCTTGACCTGCCCCGACAAGATCTTGTCAAACCCTGCCACGTTTTGCAGACTGGCACAAGCACATAGGGTAGGTATTCTCACCCAGACGTCACCCTTGCTGCCATATCTAGGTAAGTAGGTGGTAGGTTGTAGGTTGTAGCTAGGGTTAGCTGGTAAAACTATGTTTTGTTAAAAAGTTAACTGTGAAAAGACAATTGCGGCGCACATGAGACTTACATATGGCAGCAAAGGTGTCGTCTGCTAAGAGAGCACCTACCCATAGACTAGTATTGGTATAGCTGGCATAAACTGCATGGTAGGTGGTTGTAATTCATGGTTATAGGTTGGTAGATTGTAGGTTGTAGGTTGTAGGTTGTAGGCTTATAGCCCGTAGGTTGGTAGGCAGGGTTTGGTGTTTGTTTAATTTTTCAAATAAACAAACATAAACAAACTGTTCACGAACAAATGTGTTCACGAACAAGTGACGTCATAGGTCAAATTTTGGTAAAGAAACAACGAACAGTTCGCGAACGTTCATGAACTGTTCGCGAACACGGTAAAGAGGGGTTAGATAAGACCCCTCCTTAGCCGTTTGGCTCCTAATTGAGATAGAACCTTGCGGAAAAAGCCAGCGTGTGAGTCATCACGAACCACAGCGATTGGTATCCGATTTCAAGGTCTTACACCAACCGGTGACCCCTGAGGTCAGGTCAAGTGTCATAAAGTAGTGGTTTGGTTTTTGGTAAATAACTTCGCCACAAATAGTGGCAGAGCCACCATTGTGGCATCATCGTGCTCGTCGTGGCCAGGCGCGTCAAATGATATACTTTTTGTTTGGGTTAGGTCTTTTTAGGATGTTGACCTCAGGTCAAGGTCAGGTCAAAGCCACTCAGGTCACAAAACTGCATGGAGGATGTCATGCTGCATATCATTTGATGTGTCAGTTTCTGAGTCAATTGATGGCTCAACTGACTCGCTAGCTCAATTTGATCAGAAGTTATTAGCAAAAAGCTCCTACAGTACCAAAAAACCTTACTGGCGTCTTATACGTATAACGTCATGCAAGGTCTGAAATGCACAATTTTAGCCTCAGCGTTGCAAGAATAATTATGCATCACGATTCCATGTGCTTGAGATATGACTGGTGCATTTGCACATGCAAAACATGCCTGCGGTCATGTCTGCACCGTATGATAACAATTGCTCGAAAGATATAAGAAATGATCACTTGTTGATGAACGTTCGTGAACGTTCACGAACTGTTCATGAACAGATAATCGTTAGTAAACATGTGACCTTGAATGCCAAAATTTGTTAACTATCAAATAAACAAACAAACAAACATTGTTCACGAACTGTTCATCAACAAATATACAAACACTAAACCCTGTTGGTAGGTAGTAGGTTAAGGCACGGTTAGGTCAGGTTAGTTTAGGTTAGATATGGTGAGTGACACCAGCGTTACTGATCCTGCACGTAACTAGGTATTTGAAACGGTTAGAGCTTAATCACTCAATAGCCCTACTTAGTACTTACCCTCTTCAGCTGCACCGTCATTATATTATGGAGTTCATTCTTGATAACACTGAGTTTCATCATAGTGTTTGAGCTGAACATAGAAGATCCAAACGCAAATCCCGGGTAATCAGCGCACCTGTTTCGCCTGCTGACACGCTCCTGTGCCACTTCTGTCCTCTCACCGCTGCACCTAAGTTTTGAAAGCTCGAGTATTTCCTGATCACTGTCGTCGTCTGGGGCAGCAACACCAAGACTGCGCCCACTGGCCGGACGATGCCACTGGCGCACCTCGTTGTTATCACTGTCCGTGTTGGCATTGTCCAGCTCACTCAGACTAGAAGTCGAGCTGGCCGGAGTCAAATTGCCGTTTATCCCGTCCACATTCACTAAAAAGCTATTGGGTCGATCACGCGCCATCCCACCATCATCACCTGCCTCCATGTTGCACTTCACTACGGTAGTTCTATCGAGTATATTTGGAGCATATAGACATAGACCCAGGGGGGTAGGTAGGTACGCTGGAGTTCTATAGCCTTGGGTACGCTCCGGCTGTTTAGCATTACGAAAAGTGGTGACAGACGTTTGTGGAGGATTGTCGACGAATTCTTGTTCCGCGAGCAGTACTTACACGTTAGCGCAAAATCCACCAATCAGCGCTCGGCAGTACTCGACGCTGATTGGCCACGTCTGTCAATTCAGCAGCAACGAATATCAGCCTCGCGTATTTGGAATTTCCGACCTCGACGAGCGTCTGTGGTAGAAAACCACCACTTTGGTAGGGGAAACTACTGCTGTCTGCTACCGTTTGCACTGCATGTCTCGCTGTAGTTGCGACCGATTGCGACATCTATGCAATTGGGTACGTACCTTAGCGATATACGTACTTTATAATTTACGTACTTCTTCGATGCGTATTTTCTTCTTTGACGTACTTTTGTCTAGGTATACGTACTTTGTGCTGTACGTACCTACCTCTGCGATACGCCTACTTCTGTCCTTGACGTACCTACTTATGCCATACGTACTTTATACTCGACGTACTTTTGCGATACGTACTTTTGCCCTTGACGTACTCTTGTACATGCGTAGGTACTTTATGCTGTACGCACTTTTACGATATGTGCTTTTGTCCTTGACGTACTTTTGTCCATGCGTACTTAATAATGCACCACGTACTTCTTCGATACGTACTTTTGTCCTTGACGTACTTTTATCCATTCGTGCTTTATACTGTATGTACTTTTGCCATGCGTACTTTTGTCCTTGACGTAATTTTGTCCATGCGTACTTTATATACTGTACGAACATTTGCGATACGTACTTTTGTCCTACCTGCCACTTGCCAGGGGCGTCGCCACAGATTTTCGACAGGGGGGACGGATCGGCCGACTAAAAACCCAAAATTAGGTATCGTTACCGTACTTTTTCAGGCCGATGCACTATCTGTTCAACGATACTGGGCTGAATTCCTACGCGGTACGCGTCTAAAGCATAGGCGCGGGAGCCGGGGGGCAGTGGGGGCAGCTTGCCCCCCCCCCCGGCTCTGGGGCCGTGGGGGCGGTGCCCCCACAGCTTTGAGACGGAATACCACACTTTTTTTGCAAATGTTTTCTTTTTTGTTGAAAAAGCCGAGGGGTGAAAAATAAGTGGCCTTAAACCGGTGAGAAAACTAGATTTGGGGATACCCTAGGTTGATCTCTATTAACCCTATTCCTGGCGGGCTCCGCCGGGACAAGAAACTGGCGGGGGGGCCGATTCGGCCCCCCCCCCTGAGATCTCGAGAACGAAGCAAGATAGCGACAAGCGGTAAACGGCATCGGATACGCACGGCCAAGATCTACAATTTTTACTAAGGTCATTTTCAGGTCAGGTCAAAGATGACGTCACAGGGGTCGAAAAAGTCAAAATGGCGGCGCTAGATATGGAGAGAGTTTTTCTCGAATAACTTTCGAATTAGTCAAGATAGGAACAAACTAAGGCCATCATCGTGATCCTCTCGTCAATCCGCATCGAATGATATATATATATGTTGACCTCGAAAGGTCAAGGTCAAAGGTTGACCTCAGGTCACGTGACCTCGAGGTCATCATGTATATCATTCGATGCGTCTTGACGAGCTGAACACAATGAGACCATCCACGCGTCTGTATCTTGTTCCTGTACGGAGTTATTGGCCAAAAACCTTTGGTGACCTTTGATGACGTCACATGACCTCACAGCTGCCCAACAGCAAAACAGACCTCAAGGTAGTGAAGGTTGATCGTATATGAAGTCATGTATGGTATATGGGGCCATTCCGACCCGTTTTAGTGGTAAAAACAGGGAGTTGATTTTTCCCCCATTGACTTATAATGGGGAGGTCGCGAAATTGACCTGACCTTAGGTCACCGATATCAAAATTCCGAGATATACAAATTGCACATACTGGTACCCTAACTAAACCCTGAAGAGAAGAAATTGATCGGTCAAAAACTCTAGCTCTGGCGTGATTGCAAACTTTTCTGAGGTAGGGTCACCAAACCGCCTCTGGTGACCTGACCTGAGGTCAGATCAACTCAAAATTTTCAGACATGTTGCGTAGAAGCCTTTTAGGAAAAGTCAGAAAATTTGAGCTTCCTAGCTCAACGCGTTTGGGAGAAATAACCAAAAAACCTCAGGGGGGCTCCTGAGGCCCCCCCCCCCCGCCAGGAATAGGGTTAAAGTGTGCCCCCCCCCCCCCCCAGTCGGAAAGTAGTTCCCGCGCCCCTGGTCTGAAGTATTCATTTCTACACTGGTAACCAGAGCCTCCGGTCTTCTATCAGGGTATAATTGTTGACACATGCCGTCAATCTGATAGTTAACTGTTAATGTATACATCATACGTAGTGGTTGCTTTAGGTATTTGTCACAACTCTGAACTCATAATCTCTTTTGGTCTCCAGTATGAATGGGCGGCGCGGGTCGGCGCGAAGCGCCGCGAGATTTTCGTCGGGGTCGGAAATGTATATGCATAGATGTCGCTACAATAGCTTGACATGCAGTGCAAATTGTAGCAGACAGCAGTAGTTTCCCCTACCAAAGTGGTGGTTTTCTACCACAGACGCTCGTCGAGGTCGGAAATTCCAAATACGCATCAGCCTCACAGCAACATATTTCAGGGTCTTTCGATTTGGCTGAAAATCGGTATACAGGGCCTCCTCGATGCGCTGATTCCGAAAATGTACCTCTTTGGGGTTGTTTGGGAGGATTTTATATCAATGAGGCTCGAGCGTGAGCTGCTCGAGAAATGAAAAAAAATATTTTTACTAAAAATACAGGAGTCAACATGAAGTGTTAAGAGTGTTTAAACCGTTATTAAGTACTTAGCAATTTAAGCTGGTTTATTTATTAAGTATCACATTTATTTAAGATTTAAGATTACAAAACACAACGCGAGGATAGCAAAACTATAATAACATCTGGTGCATGTGACTCCGGATATGGGAAAATCGCGCAAAGCCGGCAATTCAAGCGCTGGCGTAGCCGTTGAAGAAATCATGGAGAGCCAGATTGTGGAAAGTAAAATGAAGAAGAAGCAAAGAATACTGAAGGAGATTCGAATGAATGAATCCAAGTTAAGTTCGCTGATTTGCGACCAAGAATCCTCACTCTCAGAGCTCCAAAAGATAACAGGTGAGCTAGGAGAGCAGGCGAGTGAGCTATTAGATGTAGTAGAGGCCATCCTGGGAAGAGAAGAACAGCGGTGAAGTAGAATCAGGACCACTATGGGACATGTTTCATGGAGTAGAAGCCAGCATTCAAGATTCCGTCAGCATGGCAAACAAGTATATCCGCAAGAAACTGTCAGGAAACCTGTATTGTGAGGAAACAAGTGCGAGCAGTGAAGCGAGTGAACAGCCGAGCACGCAAAAAGAAAATGAAGCAAAGGACAAGGAAAACACGAACCGATCCCAAGATGCGACGGATTCGTCCATCAAGGGTATAAAGCCGCCAGAACTGCCTATATTCGATGGCAGAAAGGGTTACAGTGACTGGAGGGCGGTATTCGATGCTTTCGTCGGCAACTCGAACGCGTCGGCTGAGCTCAAGATGGTCTACCTCAAGAACAGTTTGACCGGCGAGCCCCTACAAATGGTAGAACGATATGGGTTGTCGAAAGCTGGTTATGAGAAAGCTAGAGAAGAGTTGGAAAGAAAGTATGGTGGTCATGCCAGGCGAGTGCGAGCAGAGATAGCCAGCATTCGCAACTTCCCCAAGATAGGTGAAAACGATACAAAGAAGCTTGAAGAGTACTCAGATAAGGTGACAAGTCTCGTCACCAGTCTGAAGGAAAATGGATCAGACGGAGATCTTTCGGAAGTATCAGCATTTTATATGCTTGTGTCTGAAAAAGTTCACCACTCCTACATTACATCAAGAACTATCAAAGGTGGCTAAGCACGACGAGTCAACAAGACAGCTTCGAAACATTTTCAAAATGGCTAGCTGAAGAAGTCATGCTGGAAAAAAGAGCCAAGGAAGCAACAGCAGCCAGTAGCGAGCAGGATGAGCCAAGGCCGAGAATGCGTAGCCACGGAACAAAGAAGACGTACGCTGCCACAAGGCAGACCAGCCGGCATGTCTTCAGTCGGCTGAAATGTGCAGTGTGTCACGCAGAACACGCGACTGAAGATTGCGCTGAGCTGCAGAGCTGGGAAGTCGCTAGAAGATATGCATTCTGCAAAGCCGAAGGATTGTGCTTCAGGTGTCTGCGTGGCAAACACAGGGGAACTAACTGCCGCAAGTTTCCCGGCTGTGCTGTTGAGGGCTGTGGTGGCACTCATCATAGCCTCCTGCATGCCAGTGGAGGTGGAAACTCTCGAAACTCAGCTGAAGTAGCCCGACCGTCTTACAGGACTCCGACACTCAGCAGCCAGGCCAAGGAATTCATTCCGAGAACGGTCCAGGGCCGCGCTTGTGCTAAAGAAGATAGTGCTCCAACAAGCAGTGCACAGGTGTCCGCGGCTCCCGGTGCAAGTTTTAATACCGCTGCCCAGAGACAAGAGAAGCGAAGTGGAAAAGTCGCGTTTCAGACGGCCCCGGTATTAGTGCACTGTCAGGATCGATTTCTGAAGCTGAACGCACTTTTAGATCCCTGCTCTGACGCCAGTTACATAAGTAAAGCTGCTGCAGACGAGCTCGGACTACAAGGAGAAGAAGTCAAATTTGAGCTTGGGACGGTCAATGGCAAGACGGATGTGAAAATGACGTCAGGAGCTGTCCGGATAGCCTCTACCCAGAGTAGGTTTGAAACGTCCTTAGATGTTCACGTCATTCCCAGTCTGGAAGGAGCCTCCGTATGTACGAGCTGGCAGGATGTGAAGCAGCGTTGGCCACACATGGTAGACATCCCCTTTCCAAAGATGGCTGGAAGGGAAGTGGACCTACTGATCGGTCTTAGCCCTGAGACAATGCCCATCTTTGTGCCTCTGAAGACTGTCTCCGGCAAGAGTTCGAGCCCAGTCGCTGTCCTAACGCCACTTGGATGGACAGCATTCGGCTGCGTTCAAGACAATGAAGATCCTTCTAACCTACAAAAGCTGAAGAGCATGACAAACGTCGCAAGAACCTTGAGAACTTGCCTGACAGATAAGTCACTAAACGAAGAAATTCAAGCAATGAGAGCGATGACAGATCTGGAGGTGCTGGACGTCAAGACCACCGAGACCAATCTTCTGTCAGCTGAAGAAAAAGTGGCTATGAAGAAAGCTGCAAGTTCATTGAAGAAACAAGGAAGTAGATATCAAGTTGCAGTACCATGGCGAGAAAACGAGCCGCAGCTGAAAAGCAACTACGAATCTGCGCTGATTCGCCTGGTGAAGCTGGAGAATTCTCTTCATCGTCGGGGAGCTCATCTTGCTGCAAAGTATAACGACATTCTTGAAGAGTACGTGAAGAAAGGTTATATGACCAAAACTCCCACGGCGCAGAGATCAAAAAGTGGAGAGGATGAGTGGTTCCTTCCACACTTTCCCGTCATTCGAGAGGACAAGGCGTCATCCAAGATCCGAATCATGTACGACGCAGCGGCCAAAAGTGAGGGAATCAGTCTCAACTCACAGCTCCTTCCGGGACCATCGCTTTACAGCGACCTGATCGAAACGCTAGTCGGATTCAGACAACATCCTATCGCCTTAGTCGGAGATGTAAAGGAGATGTTCCTTCAAGTCGAGCTGGCGCCAAAAGATCAGAAGTTCCACCGCGTTCTATGGCGCAACATGAAGCAAGATGAAGAACCAACAGTTTTTGAAGCCAAGAGATGGATCTTCGGAAACGCTGCAGCACCGTTCGTCGCGCAGTTTGTTCTGAAGGAGCATGCGCGACTCAACGCAGAGAAGTACCCTGTTGCGTCTGAAGTAATCAGCAAGCACGTTTACATGGACGACGAGATCGCATCATTTAAGGATGCGGAATCCGCCATCGGAGCAAGGAGGCAAGTAAGTGAGCTGCTGGAAGATGCTGGCATGAAGATGACGAAGTGGAAATCAAACAGTCAAGAAGTGATGGAAACAGTACCAGAAGAGGACAGAGCCGTCACCTCAAAACACTTCATTGAAGACAAAGGATCAGAATCAACCAAAGCTCTCGGCGTGGTGTGGTCGACAGAAGACGACATTCTATCACTGGATGTGTCCAAGCGACCGCCGGTGACAGGAAGATGGACCAAGAGAGCTGTCCTGAAGGAGATGGCTGCCATCTTCGACCCGTTATGCCTATTCGCACCATTCACACTCCGTGCCAAGATGTTATTTCAGCAAACCTGGGACTGCACGATCAACTGGGACGACATCCTACCTGAGGATCAGCAGAAACAGTGGAACGCGTGGTTCTTCGAACTCGCAGAACTGGAGACCATAGCTGTGCCAAGATGTATTCACCGCTTCAAGGGTGAACCTGACCAAGAGCTCCATGTCTTCAGTGATGCCTCTGAGCAGGCATATGCCGCTGCTGTATATGTCGTATCCGAAAGCATGGGTGAGAGGTGCTCCAATCTCGTCCTGGCACGTGCCAGAGTGGCACCGAGAGCAAAGAAGAAGACGATCGCCAGACTGGAGCTCATGGGGGCGCTCTTGGGACTGCGTCTAGTCAAGAAAGTGTGCAGCGCTCTTGGGAAGGAGCTATGTGAGGTCCATTTCTGGTCAGACTCAATGGATGTCCTCTGCTGGATCAGAAACGAAGTTTCTAGGTTTCAAGCATTTGTGGCCCACCGAGTGTCAGAAATCCGTGAGTGTACGGTGCCGGAGCAATGGCAGCACGTACCAGGCAAGGAAAACCCAGCCGACGCGCCGACAAGAGGACTGAGTCTCGAGGCGCTTCGAGGTCACAGGCTGTGGTGGCATGGGCCGGAGTTCCTGGTGGATGAAGACCGTACATGGCTGACAAAAAGACACTTCAGTGATGAAGATTTTGACAGAACCGAACTGGTCAGACGAGAGCAAAGATACACGTTCGCCATAAGAGCTCCAGCCTCAAGCGCGGAGTTACGACTCCTCCCGGAAAAGTTCTCTAGCTGGACTAGGTTCATTCGAATCACAGCCTGGGTGATGCGATTCATCAAAGCACTGAAAGAAAAACTGAGAAAACGCCCAGCCAGATGTACTGAACCAGAGGGGCTAGGTCCAACTGAAGTCGATGAAGCGGAACAGTTCTGGATTAAACGAGCTCAGGAAGCGTCATTTTCTGAAGAAATGAAGCAGCTGAAGACAAGTGAAGGATCCGGTGTCAAAAGATGTCGTCAAAGCTCAGTGAAGAAGCTGTGTCCATTCATGGACGAGGACGGCATACTCAGAGTTGGAGGCAGGCTACAGCGCTCCGACTTGAGCTACAGCGCCAAGCATCCTGTTCTGCTTCCAAAGGGACACCCAATCAGCAGACTGATAATTCGTCAGCTGCACGAGGACACTGAACATGGCTTAGGTGTAGAGCACACCTTGGCCAGCTTACGAACGCGCTTCTGGGTGCCTGCTGCGCGGGAGATGATCAAGAAATGCATTCACCAGTGCGTAAAGTGTCAGAAGCTCCGAAAGTCAGCCGAGACACAAGTGATGGCGCCCAAGCAAAGCAACCAAGTGAGAACGCGCTTCCGCGCCTTTGACAAGACGGCAGTTGACTTTGCAGGACCATTCCTGACAAAACAAGGTCGTGGAAAGGTCAGGCAAAAACGGTACCTATGTATCTTCACCTGCCTCCAGGTCAGAGCCGTTCATCTGGAGATGACGTACGGGCTAGATACATCCAGTTTCATTCGGGCTCTGATGAGATTCATTTCCAGAAAAGGCGAGCCCTCAGAGATCATATCTGACAATGGAAGAAACTTCACACGGGCTTCAAAGGAACTGCAGCAGTCCTTTCACGGATTGGACAACAGTCAGATCCAGCGTGAACTTCTGAAGTCACGCACGAAGTGGACGTTCATCCCTCCTGGTGCTCCACACTTCAATGGAGCGTGTGAAGCAATGGTTAAGATCGCGAAGAGAGTGTTGATGAAGACTCGAGCATGCTGACCTCTCTGATGAAGAGCTGCAGACAGCGTTCTGTAAAGTAGAGGCGCTGATGAACACAAGGCCACTGACGGTGTTATCCAACGACCCAACTGATGACCAGCCGCTCACGCCAGCCAACTTCCTCGTGGGTCACACAGCAATCGAGATGACAGTATCATCAGATTCCAATGAGGCGGGGGTAAGGCAGCGCTGGAAACGTATACAACAGCTGTCAACAGAGTACTGGAGGCGATGGCTCAGAGAATATCTACCGTCGCTACAGCGGAGACAGAAGTGGCTTGATCCGAAACCCGACATAGCACCTGGTGACGTGGTGTTGGTGGTCGACCCGTCTTCTCCACGAGGAAAGTGGCCGATGGGACGCATAGACCAAGTGATGAGAGGTGACGATGGTCACGTCAGAGTGGCGTCTGTGAGGATGCGAGACAAGATCGTCACAAGACCAGTCACAAAGATGGTCCGACTGGATGTCAGCGGCCTGCTGGTGTAGTTGTTGGATTGGGAACAATCCAAAGTGAGGGGAAGATGTTTGGGAGGATTTTATATCAATGAGGCTCGAGCGTGAGCTGCTCGAGAAATGAAAAAAGATTTTTACTAAAAATACAGGAGTCAACATGAAGTGTTAAGAGTGTTTAAACCGTTATTAAGTACTTAGCAATTTAAGCTGGTTTATTTATTAAGTATCACATTTATTTAAGATTTAAGATTACAAAACACAACGCGAGGATAGCAAAACTATAATAACAGGGGTGGTATTTTGCACCGTTAACGAGTTAACGGCCAATTAACATTTTAACGGGAAACAGCGGGGTCTTTCGATTTGGCTGAAAATCGGTGGACCTACAGCGCCTTCTCGATACGCTGATTCCGAAAATGTACCTCTTTGGGGTGGTATTTTACACCGTTAACGAGTTAACGACCAAGTAACATATTAACGGGAAACGGCGGGGTCTTTCAGTTTCGATTTGGCTAAAAATCGGTATGAAGGGCCTCCTCGATGCGCTGATTCCGAAAATGTGCCTCATTGGGGTGGTATTTTGCACCAATAACGAGTAAACGACCAATTAACATTTTAACGGGAAACGGCGGTGTTGTGTCGTGAGATTTGTCCGTGCTACTTCATAGCTGAGACTTTATCTTGGGTTAGAGCTTGTATTGCGCAGTCAGTCGCACTACGTCGGACACACAACCTTGACAACAACCAGCCATATATGGGCAACAGAGAGGCCCCGTGAAAAAGGAAGACAACAACTGACACGTCCTCTAAAACACTGCAATAGCTAAAGTCCTGCCGGCCAGCTTGGTCAAGGCAAATACACAACACTCCTCCCCCCTAAATTAAGCTCCAGCTTTTGAATTGACACAAACCATTTTTTAGAAGCCAGCACACAGATCACATACATACATCTACATAAGCTTCGGCTACAGGTTGAGACGTTTCACTGGTACCCGTGTCCGGGTGGAGCGCCTCAGCACCACTTCAGGCTCCGGCGCCGGCTGTCGGGTTGATAGCGGCGCTGGACGTCTGGGCGAGTCAGCGGCCTGTTCAGCAGCAGCTCCTTCGCGCACGGGCGTCGGCTCGCGTGCTGGTTCTTGTTGAGCTTCCGGGGGAGATGACAACGGTTCCTGCTCTGCAGACAGCGACTCAGGGCGGGCCGTCTCAGGAACAACGATTTCCCGTCGGATGCCTTCGTCGTCGTCTTCAGACATAGTCGGACGCGGATGACGAGGAGACGCCATTGGGATTTTCAGCAACTTTCGATGTGGCGCTTCCAGACCTGGTCATGTACCTGAACCAGGTAGTGCTTGGTCCCTACCACATCCATCACCTCTCCCTCCGCCCATTTTCCGCGACCGCGGTAGTCTCGGGCGAGGACCGCGTCACCGATGGCAACCTGTCGAGGCTGACCATGACGTCGCTCGACTTGCGTTTGCTGCTTGTTCTGGATTTGAGAGGTCAGATCAGGCTTCAGAAGATCTAGCCTCGTACGTAGCTGTCGTCCCAACATCAGTTCGGAGGGCGTTCTTCCTGTAGTAGCCTGTGGAGTGTTTCGATACGCCATCAGAAAGTTTGGCAGGTTCATCTTCTTTCCACTTGTGGCCTTCAGGTAGCCCTTGAGACAGCCAACAGCTCGCTCTGCTGCTCCGTTCGTTGCGGGTTTGAACGGTGCGGTTCGGACATGCCGAATTCCATTCCGCTTCAAGAATCCTTCGAATTCCTTGCTCACGAGTTGCGGTCCATTGTCTGTGACGATTTGGTGAGGTAGGCCAAACCGTGCAAACACATTCAGGAGATACTCGATAGTCTTTTCTGATGTGATGTGCTTCATTGGAGCGATTTCCATCCACTTCGAGAAACTGTCGATGAGGACAACGTACAGCTTCCCATCAACTGGGCCAGCGAAATCCAGATGGATTCGCTGCCACGGACCCTTTGCAAACTCCCATGGATGCAGGTCCGTACATGGTGGTTCAGCTCTCTTTTGCCAGCATCCTTGGCATCTTCGCACTTCTGCTTCAACTTCTTTGTCCATGTTTGGCCACCAGACGTGCATCCTGGCCAGCTGCTTCATTCTGACCATTCCTTGATGACCTTCATGTAGTTCTTCAAGAACTCTTTCCCTCAGAATCGGTGGAACTACCACTCGACAGCCCCACATTAGGCATCCTTGCTCCACCGTCAGCTCTGTTTGTCTGACCTTGAACGCATGTAGAGCTTCTCCGACTTTGTCTGGCCATCCTTTGTTTACGAAGTTGACCACTTTTGCGAGCAGCGGGTCTCTTGTCGTCTCACGCTGGATCGCTGCAGCAGTGACTGGGTTGAGAGAACTCAACTGGCCAATCAGGCACACGGTGCATTCATCTTCTGGTGCACTTGAATTCATCACGGAGGTTCCTTTTGGTAGACGCGATAGCCAGTCTGCTACCGGTATTTGTTCAGACCTCCTGACTTCCACGGTGAAGTCGTACTCTGCCATTTTCATCGTCCATCTCTGAATTCGGCTTGCTGCTAACGTTGGCAGTGGCGTTTTGGGACCGATCACCTGAGCCAGTGGCTTGTTATCGGTCACAAGTTTGAAGTGACGTCCGTACAGAAACTGCTTCAGCCTATCGAATGCCCAAACGATGCAGAGTCCTTCTTTTTCGATTTGTGAGTACTTCTTTTCATGTTCACTGAGTGATCTCGACACGTACAGCACAGGTCTTTCGGGAACACCCTGCACCAGGACTGCCCCCAGACCATGTGGACTGGCATCGGTGATGACAGTCACCTGTTCCTTCACGTCAAAGTGTCGGAGCACTTCAGCAGATGCCAGGCGGGCTTTGATTCTCGTAAAACTTTCTTCACAATCCTTCGACCACTTCCATTCTTTGTCCTTCTTCAGGAGTTCATTTAGTGGTTTCGCCATCTTCGACAGATTTTCCAGGAACTTGCTGTAAAACGTTACAGCTCCCAAGAACTCACGTAGTTCTCTTTGATTTGTTGGCGCGTTTGCCTCCAGCACCGGCTTCACTCGCTCGGGATCAGGTCGGATTCCGTTTGCACCCAATCGCACTCCCAGATAGCGAACTTCCTTCGCCATGAACTGACACTTTTCCTTCTTGAGGCGCAGACCGTTTGTTTTCAGGATCTGCAGCACTTCATCCAGCCGCTTCAAGGCTTCTTCTTCAGTTTTTCCTGTGATAAGGATGTCGTCCAGCAGACATTTGACACCTGGTACTTTCTTCAAGATTCGGTCCATCGCTCTCTGAAAGAGCATTGGAGCTGACGCGACTCCATAGGGGAGCCTCAGCATCCGTTTCAGTCCGAACGGCGTGTTCAGGTAGCACAGTTCCTGACTTTCTTTTGACAACTTCATTTGCAGATAGGCTTGCGACAGATCCACCACAGATATGAACTTCGCAGGTCCGATGGTTGCCAGCAAGTCTTCGGTCTTCGGCAGAGGATGTACCGGTACGTTCAGGTACTGGTTCAGCGTCACTTTGAAGTCGCCACAGAGGCGTACGCTTCCATCTGGTTTGGGCACCACAACCAGTGGTGTTGCCCACTTCGGCGTTGGTTCATCATCTCGGAGATCTTCGATTACTCCCAGCGTCTTCCATCTTTCCAACTCTTTTTCCACTGCATCAGTCAGACTGTAAGGTACTGACCTTGCTGGTTTGAAGACGGGCTCTGTGTCTTTCTTCAGTTCCAGATCAGCTTCCTGACCACTCATTGTTCCCAGTTCATCACTGAAGAGTTCTTCATGTTCCTTCAGCACTTCACTCAGCTTCTTCATCTTCTTTTGTGGTTCAGGTTTTTCTTTCACTTGACCAACCAGACTTGACCAGTTCAGCTTGATTTCATGCAGCCAGTTCCTTCCGAGGAGGCATGGACCATTTCCTCCCACTACATATACTGGCATCTTCTTCTTCATTTGACCTTCGTACTGCACATCCACTTCTGTCATTCCTCTGACAGGTATTTCATGTCCTGTGTACGATGTGAGCTTACATCTGGTATTCTTCAAGTTGAGGCCTTCAGCCTGCTCTTCTGGAATCATGGTTACCGGACAGCCAGTGTCCACAATGAACGTGACGTTCTTCTCGTTGACAGCCATGGTCACCTTGATGGCTTCCTTCCCTTTTGATGTGCTTTGGTACACACACAGATTTTCTTCAACTTCATCATCTTGGTCTTCTTTTTCCACATTCAGCGTTTTTCCATTTCTGCACGCTGCTTTCAGATGTCCTTGTTTCCCACAGTTGTGGCATCTGACGTGGGGTGGTACCCTGCAGAACTTGATCAGGTGGTTCGTTTTCCCACACCTGAAGCAATGTCTCCTTTCAGTTTTCTCCAACTTCCACTTCCTGTTTTCTTCATTGTTTTCATTTTTCCATGTCTTCCCTTGACCATTTGCATTTTTCCATGTCCTCTTATCTTCATGGCTCTTTCTTTCATTTACATTCCATGGTTTCCTTCTTTCCTTCAGTGATTCATTTCTTTCTTTGTTATGCCACTTCACCTTGTTCACTGCTTCTTCTTCTGCACTTTTTCCCATTCTTCTTACTTGTTCATTCACTGTTGCATCAGTTGACCATATCATAATGGCACGCGATAGGGTCAGCACTCTTTCTTTGAGCATTGACTCCTTGACCTCGGAGGATGGGCACGTTGCCAAGAGCTTGTCCCTGATCAGATTGTCCATTTCCGAAGCTTCAAAATTGCATTTCCTTGCTTGCGTTTTCAGTTTAGCTACATACTCCTCTACCCTACCTCCTTCATATTGCATCATGTTGAAGACACGACGCTCCACCACCGTGTTCACTTGAGGCTTGAAATGCTTTTCCAATTGTGCTCTCAGTTTGACGTATGCGTCAGTTACATCAGCTATATCAGGCAGCGTATCAACAATTTCTTGTACATCCGGGCCAAGAAGATGCAGCACGATGTTCACTTTTTGAGCAGATGATTGAATGTTTTGAGCACCCATGTAAATTTCAACTGAT